CATTTGGGCCTACCCCTGAAGCCAGGGCTCTTAGCTCCCTATTTCTCCTTTCTAACTGACGCCCACTACAGAAGAGCATTTATGCTGGCAAGATTCAACGTACTACCGTCAGCTATTCTACTTGGTAGATACCAGAGAGTCCCACTTAATCTCAGACGATGCCCCTGTGGTCAAGATGCCATCGAAACAGTTTCTCACATTCTCTTGGACTGTCCTTTCTACAACAGCTTGCGTGCAAGATTTCTAGAACCATTGCTCTCCAGTTTTCAAGGATGCTCCGATAAGGCCAAAGTTTGCTTTTTAGTCCAGGGGAATATTAACCATGTCACTACCTATGTCGCTCGCTTTTTACACACCGCGATTCAAATCAGAGAGGCCATCCCCCAGGCATAGTTGAATCACTCTCCCAACGTAATCTGGCCATGGCTCTATGACTCTCCACAGCCTTTTTATTGATTTAAGCTTTGCATTAAGCACTCCTAATCTACATGATGCAGTGGTCTACATCTACTGTATACCTTGAAACTATGTAATGCTTTATTCTGCCCGCATTGAAGCTTTTTGATCTGCTTCATGCAGGGTATATACCCTCCATCTATCTGAGGACCCCTGCTTGCTGTATGTTTTATGCCAATAAAGGTTATGATGACTATTCGATAGATTTTAGAGTATGACTGGTATATCTTTCTCTAATTGTACTTTCATGATGGCAATGGAGCAACAGTTTTCCCATATGTGGAACAGAGATTAAATAAAGGCTCATAAAATAGTATCAGTCTGGCTGATTCACTTTTCTGTTCAGAAATAGTAGAATTAAAAGGAAAAAAGTCTGAATTATTTCATCATTAGCAAGATATAACTCTTTTTTTTTTGCCCAGAAGAATGATAAAATATTTGTGCATCTATACTCAGATGAATCTCTGTTTGAAACTGCCACACCACAAAGTATCACAGGAGAAACAGCCAAATAAAAAGAAAGCAACAATCAATGTTTTGATGGCCTCATTTTATTTATCACTTAAGTATTTATCATTTTCCAATTTGGACTAAAGAAAAGGAAACTCTTGCTGTTTGTTGAAGGTGGCCATCAAAGCTCAGACAACGTCTGCTCCAGAGTTCAAACTAAACCTGGAGGAACTGTAGCGCTTTAAAAAGAAGAAAAGAAAGAAAAATTAGTTGGAAGCAACTTGGTTGAACATTATCCCTCTTCTTTGCTCCATGTGGCTAGTGGCATACTTTCTTGGCTTCCTGTCCCTTCTCCAGGGTAAAAAAAAATATTGGCGAGTGACAATTGAAGCACCTGAGGTAAAGGGTTCATAGAAACATAGAATAATGAAGTTGGAAGGAGCCTATAAGGTCAATGAATCCAACTTCCTTCTCAATGCAGTAATACAAATTAGAGAATATCTGTCAAATGGTAGTCGAAATTTCTCTTGACTGCCTCCAGGGTTGGAGCACTCACCACCTCCCAAAGTAATTGGTTTCATTCTCATACTGCTCTAACAGTTAGGAAGTTTTTCCTGATATTCAGCCTAACTCTGGCTTCCTGCAACCTGAGCCCACTGTTGCGTGTCCTGCACTTTGGGATGGTCGAGAACAGATCCTGCCCCTCCTCTGTATGACAGCCTTCCAAATATTTGAAAAGTGCTATCCTCTCTCCCCTCAGTCTTCTTTCCTCGAGGCTAAACATGGCCAGTTCTTTCAGCCTTTCCTCATAAAGGCTTGGTTTCCAGTCGCCTGATCATTCTTGTTGCCCTCTTCAGAACAAACCAGTGCCAAATAGACAGGAACTGGTACTGCGCGGGGTTTGGAGACTATGCTTCACCAAAGAGGCATACTTCTGCACTGTGAATCACCTCCCTTTCCCCTTGGAAGCCAGCTCTCATATGAGCAAAAAAACACAAAACACTCAGGGTAGTGGGAAGTCACCCCCAAACCAAGAGAGCTCCTCCTCCTACCCCTTGCCATGAGCTGCCTGTGTTCATTCATACTTCTGCCTTTCTCTGAGCATGACAGCTAAAAGATCCTGGAGTAACAGAAACATTTTAATTGATTGTTTTCCCTGCCATATCCAGAAAATCTAGGGATATTGTTGAAGCTATTGTGAACTATTTCAAATCTGGAAGATTATGCTCTGGTTACATAGCTTTGATGTTTTGGTTTTTTACTACACTCTTCATCCTGCTTAGAAGAGACATTGACATTTTATACATGGCCACCAACAGTAGATAATTGCATCATACCCTTGATTAATAAGCCATTGCACAAATTCCCTTGCTTTCTCCCTGTCCATGAGTTCAGTGTAGTCACTGCCATATGTTCCTTCATTGTGTCGCTTAGCTTTGGCAAGGAAGTGTTCAGCTCCATTTTCCTCTTCAGAAACCAACCTGTTTGGGAAGTTAGACATGAACAAAATTAAGACCTTCACAATCCTTCAACTCCCTTATTAGTTCAACCCATGGTTATATCGCGAATAAATTATACTGAACAGCATTTAGTCTGAGTTAGATTGTATTGTGTTCATATTATTCTATGCCTTAGGAAGCCATCAGAGGTTTGTTCCTCAAGCCTTTTCATCTCCATCTGTAACACACACACGGTCTAACACAGAGACACAATCGTCCAATGCTCCTTACCGTGATTCAATAGCCATTTGCCAACTAGTGGGAAGTGTAGCCGCTATGACCAGTCCAAAAACACATAACCAGGTGATTTTGTTCATTTCCTCTCCGTTCACGCACAAATCTCACAAAAATATTATTTCAACAGTGGTCTCTGAAAAACCACCAGTCTAGAAATAAAGCGGTACAGACAATGTCAACCAGTGCCTTTAAATACTGTTGGGGTCCTTTGCTCCACCTCTGTTCTGCCAGGACTCCTGCATAAGCCCCGCCTTCAGTCCAGCCTCTGTTGCCATGTCAATCCATTGCATTCTTGGCAACTATGTTGTAGGATCCTTCCTGGTGCATGTCACAAAATGTATGGCACAGCAGGAAGTGGGAATTTGTATGGTGCCTTTTGTGTGGCCCTTGGCTACTCCCAAGTCTTCCTGGTCTTGAAAAATATTAACCCCCACATGGAGAGTTGTCCCCCGAAACACATAGCAGTTCTCCGATTAAATGCTAGTACAGCTAATCACGCATATTACCACAATGCAGGACCTATGGCAGCCTTAAAAATGGGTGGGTGGGCGCCTATGAAAGGATTAAAATGAGGTTGCGGCACCTTCGGGATTTCCTGCAGTTGCCCACGGCTGTACTGGTGTTGGGTGTTTGAGCCGTGGAATAATAGATTTGCCATGGATCTATGGCAAAAATGATTCAAAAATGTTTCAGCAGCATCTTTTCCCTCATGAAACTCTACAGATCAATTCCCAAGTCGGAAATCTGTCTGTTTGCTGAAACAGACCGCTGGATTCTGTGTTACCGAAGCTGTCAAGGAGTTGAAGCTACTATTCTATGTTAGAAGCACCTAATTAGCAACCCCTATGGCCCACAGAAGGGCAACAGTTAGAAAGAGTGCCTGAGGTCATTTAGCCCAACTTCCAGCTCAGCATAGGATAGCCGTAGATAAAATACTCGTCCTTATTGCTAATGTATGTAAACATGTTATGAATCTATAGCACACAATGGCCAGAATCCAACTGGTGTTCATGTGAAGTTTGTGGAATTTGCCATATCTATCTGCAGCTGATTTTTTTTTGTTTAATTAATAAAGCAATAGGAATAGGAAAACAAATATGAAAAAGCCAACAATCTCCATTTCTTCTTACTTATGAATAAATGATCAAGTATCGTATTTTGTGTATGTCCATGATTAATTAAGTACTGTAGTCATCTATGTCATGAAATAGACTTTACATATTTTTTACATTTTACTCCATTGTGGATATGAAAATGTTTTATTCTGGATTGTATTGCAAGTATTTGGAGGGCATATCGTATGTTTCATTTGTATCTGAACATATGTTATAAAGGCAAGCCAAATAGCACGGAAGTTGTTATAATATGAATTGAGTCTTCCTCGCCATAGTTCTTGATTCAGACTTTTCTAAAGAGTAGCTCCCAGTTGGAACCAATTTATAACAACCCTAACAGGGTTTCCGAGGTAAGTACAATATATTCAGAATGATTTTACCGGTTCCATCACCAAGTCAGTTTCCATGGCCAACGAGAATTTGAACCCTGTTCTCCAGAGTTCTAGTCCATCACTCTAACCACTATACCACACTGGGAAGCCTTATATGATGTAGTTAAGAATAAATCTGTAGCCTCTTTTAATTGCTTAATTACATCTTGACAATAGTGAGTGATCAATTCTTTTTGAAGAAGTTTAGCATTGTTACCTATCAAAAGATTCAGCAGCAACTTATCTGACTGAGACTGTTTTTAGCGATGTTCTCTATTTCTCACTGAATTCACGTGCAAGGCTGAGCTGTCATAAGAACATAAGTAGAGCCCTGCTGGATCAGGCCAAGGGCCCATCTAGTCGAGCTTCCTGTATCTCACAGTGGCCCCACCAGATGCCTCTGGGAGCACATGAGACAACTAGAGACCTGTCTCCTGATACCCTTCCCCTGCATCTGGCATTTGGAGGTATCTTCCTTCTAAGCCTGGAAATTATACATCCCCATCATGGTTTGTAACCTGTGATGGACTTTTCCTCCAGAAATCTGTCTAATCTCCTCTTAAAGGCATCTAGGTCAGATGCCATCACCACATCATGTGGCAAGGAGTTCCACAGACTAACAATACACTGGGTACAGAAATATTTTCTTTTGTCTGTTCTCACTCTCCTAATTTGAGTGCATGTCCCCTGGTTTTGGTATTGTGTGAGAGGGAAAAGAGCTTCCATCTCTCCACTTTATCCATCCCCTCCATAATTTTATACATCTCAATCATGTTCCCCCTCAAGCACTTTTTCTGTAAAGAACCCCAAAAGCTGTAGCCTTTCCTCATAAGGGATGGGCCTCAGCTCAATCATCCCTTTAGTTGCTTTCTTCTGCATCTTTCCCAGTTCCACTATCTCTTTTTTTAGGTGCGACAACCAGAATTGTACGCAATATTCCAGCATGGAATTGGCCTTCCTCATTGCTGCTGCACACTGAGTTGACACTTTTATCGAGCTATCCACTAGCACACCAAGATCGCTTTCCTGATCCATCACGGACAGCTCAGAACCCATAAACTAATAACTAAAGTTTTGATTTTTTGCCCCAATGCTCATTACTTTAAATTTTCTTATATTGAAATGCATTTCCTATTTTGTCAAATATGTTCTTAGTTTGGAGAGATCCTTCTGGAGCTCTTCACAATCCCTTCTGGTCTTCACCACCCGGAAGATCCCGTCATCTGCAAACTTGGCCACCTCACTGCTTATCCCTATCTCTAGGTCACTTCTAACCAGGTTGAAAAGTACCGGTCCCAAGCACACCATTCTTCACCTCTCTTCATTGTGAAAATTGACTAGATCTACTCTGCTGGTTTCCTGGTTCTCAACCAATTCTCAGTCCATAAGAGGACCTGCCTTCTTATCCCCTGACTGTGGAGTTTTCTCAGCAGCCTTTGGTGAGGGACCGTGTCAAATGCCTTCTGAAAATCCAGATACAGTGGTGCCTTGACTTACGACCGTCCCGACTTACAACCATTTTGAGTTATAACCAGCTCCAGCTGCAAATTTTTGCTTCGACTTGCGACTGGAGCTTCGAGTTACAACCAGAAAAAAGGTGGGGGAAAAAGGTAGGGAATTCAAATAGCTAACAGTTGGTAGCGAAGAGGCTGCTTCTTTGTAGCTCTTTTGCTTCAAAGGTTAGAGAGTGTGCATTTGGAGGAGGCTTTGGACTGCCTGGTAAGGTCCTGCTTTCTACTTTGTAAAAACTGGCTGTTCTGGGTGGGTTCTGCAGCATGTGTTTGGACTGGGTGATGGAGTTATGTTTCTATGTTGGGTCTTGCAGGGTTTGTTTGTTTGGTTGTGTTTTTTTCCCCATTTATGATGGGTCTTGCAGTCTTGGTGATTTTTTTGTATTTCTGATTGGTCTTGCAGTCTCTGTTTACTTTTTGGGGTTTTCTTTTTGCATTTCTGATTGGTCTTGCAGTCTCTGTTTGCTTTTTGGTGATTTTTTTGCATTTCCGATGGGTCTTGCAGGGTTTGTTTGGTTTTCTGTTTTTTTTTTCTTCCTTCGGCCGGAAAAGATTAATTGAATTTCTGATATGTCTTGGAGTGTTTTGGGTTTTTTTTTTTTTTTCTTCCTTCGGCCGGAACAGATTAATTGCATTTCAGTGCATTCCTATGGGAAATGGTGCTTTGACTTACAACCATTTTGAGTTACAACCATCTTCTGGAACCAATTAAGTTCGTAAATGGAGGCACCACTGTAGACAATATCCACTTGTTAGCCCACATCCACAAGCCTGACCTTTTCAAAGAATTCTAAAAGGTCGAGGCAAGACTTACCCTTAGAGAAACCATGCTGGTTTTCTCGCAGCAAGGCTTTTTCTTCTATGTGTTTTAAGATTTTATCTTGGATGAGGCTTTCCACCGTCTTCCCTGGAACAGACATTAGGCTAACCAGCCTGTAGTTTCCCGGGTCCCCCTTCCTTCCCTTTTAAAAGATTGGCTCGACATGTGCTATCTTCGAGTCCTCTGGCACAGTGTCCTGGGACACTATCACCCTATATATGCAAACAACCTTGATTTGCCACATATTCTCCAACAATAAACTTTTCTGTTATGCAGGCTAATATTATTCATGTCAGGTGCTGTCTATAATCAGGTTTACTGGTTGTCTCACTAACATTTGTAGGAATAGGCCAAAATGTTTTATGTTTCCACAATTTTTGCTGCTCCCTGTAGAGACGGGACAGCCTATCTCTTGTTACATATAATTTTGCTTCATCTAATAGTGTCATCAATATGGCACTCTGACCAGGAATTCAAAACCCATATGATTTTGCATTGCTTTCTTCTTGACTCTTAGTCCCTTGGTGAAATGTGCAATTTTATGAATTTTAAACCCAAGTGACTTTAGGAAGCTTATCTTGGATTTGTTACCCACTAAGTGGTTTTCCACTTAACGAAAAAGTCCTCAACTTTATGCAGTCCTAGCTCCTTCCAGTCTGCGAAGTGGGATTTGTTCATCTCCATGACAGAAAGGCAGCTGTGCTATTACTGGATGGAGGGGGCAATTCTAAGGCGATCCATTCTTTTGCCAGTTTCTCCCTTCCCTTCCCAAATCTGCATTGCAGCTAGCCAGAATGAATAACGTTTTTAAACACCAGGATTTCCAGAAGGATTAAAAACTATATATTGTATAGTTGGCTATCTATTATTCATCATTATCATATAAAGGCACACAGTGAAGATGGAATGCTTCATGATACCTTGCAATGTTTAGGATTTCAAGAATATTATACAAAAAAAATTTCAAGTGAAGTCACCAGATTTTTTTGGCAAAGGGAAGCAAAGAAGGAAAGACATGATCAGACAATTGTGAAAAAGTTCTTTTTGGAAGGTTGTGTTCTAGGAACAAAGTCAAATTAGGCACACATCAGCAACTGGTATATTGACTGCAGAAACTTACTATTATCATTAATCATTAAACCCGGTGCTGATGTGTACTTGATTTATATTCATTAAAGCAAAGCATGCTGCCCCATTGCACTTAAAGCACTCTCTGATGGTATATAATATAATTAGGCAGCTTACACATTGCCTCCATTCCCCTGAGTACTCAATTTACCAACCTCAGAAGGGCAGAAGGCTGAGTCACCTTTAAGCAGGATCATAAGCAGAGTTTTTGATGGAGCAGAACAGCTTGATCAG